CTCTCTCTCTCCTTCAAAAATAAATAAAAACATTTTTAAAAATTGTAAAAAATGTTTTGGGGTACCTAGGTGGCTCAGTCAGTTAAGAGCCCAACTCTTGGTTTCGGTATAGGTCATGATCTCACGGTTGGTGAGTTTGAGCCCCATGTCAGGCTCTGTGCTGATGGTGTGGAACCTTCTTGGGATTCTCTCAAAATAAATAAACTTCAAAAATAAATAAATTTAAAAAGTTTCATCCTTAGACTTAGCCTACTGCCTTGATGGGGCTCTCTGGGGTTCTGATTCTACCCTATTTATTAAGCATGGTCTTTACATTCATTCTATTTCAAATGACCGACTTAAAATATCATGCAGAATAAAAGGTTGAGCCCCATAGCACAGCAGTGGACATCTATGTCTGTATTCACATCCTTCAGCTTAGACTTTGGGGTGAGAAAACCTAGACTTGGGTCTTGGTTCCCCCACTGTGATGTCATAGGCAAGTCATTTAGCATTGCTTAAGCCCCAGTTTCTCATCTGTAAAATGGCGATAATACAGCCTCCCTCACCCTAATGAAGTACTTGGCCCAGGAGACCCTCAAAAAATGACAGATTGGAATTTTGGAGAAGGGTGTAGATTTTTGCAGCAAACAGATTTGACCTTAAATACATTCATTCCCTCAGTCAACAAATCTAAGTGCCTGCTGTGTGCCAGATACTCTCCTAGGCAGAGGGAATACAGTGGTGAGCAGAAGTGGATATGACCCTTTGCCTTCATGTAGGGGATAGTACAGTGAGAAGCTATAATTATCACGTAGTCATATAATTAATGATAGAAGAGGGAGACCGGATCTTGCCTGAATAGTCAGGAAGGGGTTCCCTGAGGTGACTTTTGAACTGAGATTTGAAAGGCAGAGGGGAATAAGATCACTCTAGGTCAGTAGTTCTCACTCATAGGAGATTTTACTCACAGGGGACAGTTGGCAATGCCCAGAGATGTTTTTGGTTGTCAGAACTGACGGTGAGTGGGAGGATGTTACAATTACACATCCTACAATACACAGGACAGCCCCCACCAAAGAAAATGATCTGGCCCAAAGTGTCAGTAGTGCCAAGGTTGAGAAAACCTGGACTGCATACATAAGAAAACCCACATGCAAAGGCCCTTCCTTGAGAAAACTAAAGTACTTGCTGAACAAAGTCCAAGGGGGAGGGGGAGGGGCACTTGCTGGAGCAGGTAAAAGTGACCAGGACCAGATGGTCCTTAACCATGGGACACTGCAAAGCAGGGTGGGGAGTGGGGGGCAACATGACCAGATGTCTATTTTGAAAAGATCACTTGGGCTGTCAGTGGAGACGAAATTGTAAGGAGGCAAACCAGTGAAGAGACCACTCCATGTGGCCAGGGGAGGGATGAGGGGGCTTGCTGTAGCCAAGTGGCAGTGAAGTTGGAGACATGGGAACTGACCTAAGAAATGCTCAGGAATCAACTGGTGATGGGTAGAAGGAGAGTGGGTGAGGGAATGCCTGTGTTCCCATACGGTTACACATAGAAGCCAACAGTCAGGACCTCAGACTGGTTGGAGTTTAGCTCTAGACAAGAGGAAATCAAGTCCATGCATGTAACAAGTTCCACATAGTGACAGATGTAGACACATTTGTACATTTGTATGCTTGGCCAAACCCCAGTTTGGGAATGAAAATCATCAGTAAGGCAAGCCAGAATCTTGACAGAGGCCCTGCCAAATATGGTGTCCAGCAGATGTTCGGGTCACTGGAGCCCCTTTCACTCTACAACACATTGGTCCCAATTTTGTGATTTTTATTTTGGGGCCCATCATGCATTCCCCCCACCTGACCAAGTAGCACTAAACTTACAGCTCTCCATACTCTTTATCCCCATCTGGTGAGCTTCCACCCCTAGATTTCCACACACATGTCTGTCTTTTTGACTAGTGTGCATCCTCTCTTAAGGGCCTCTCTCTTTCAAACAG